TCTTCTTTTACCCCCATTAACATCCCCCCCATTGCTATCCCTTTTTTTAACCGACTTCGAAAAGGAGGAGGTTACTCAAATCGATCAGTATGTATGTTTTTTTTGTTTTTTTTTTTTCTGTGTGTGTTCACCGATTACTCCGAGATGGATGGATCAATCGGAACGAAACCTTTTGCATCTTGTAGGGTGTGTCTTCCGATTGGTCCCGTTAAAAAAAAATTTTTCATTGTTATTGCAAAATACATGAAGTTTTTAATCTCAAGATTGGACGATTTCAATGACCTTTTAATATGTTGTCGGGGGCATGATTCTGAACAACTTTTTCCTTATACTTCATTAACGGAAAGCTTTAGTTTCCGAGATATTGGTGAAAAACTATTGTTACTACTACATTGAATTCTACGTATGCCTACGTGTCTCTACCGATGTATGAGTCAACATCCAGTCGCCGATTCTCTACTGTTTCTATATACATATGTATACTCTGCAAAGCATGTACCGATCGCGATGAAACCTTTCACATTTAAGGGGGTAGACACGGGTAATAGTAGCGCGTTGACATTACCAGCAAAAATGGGCATAAACATGGGTTTATGCACTTCCGTTATTCGTCCTTGTATGACAACATTTAGGGCTGGATGAGGGCTTATTCGAAAGAGGAAGGTCCAATGCACACCGCTCAACTCATGTTTCAGTGGGATTATGTTGATGTTTAGTAATATAAGCGTCCAAAGAAGAGGTAAAAAATCGAAAAAATAAAAAATCGCCCTTTTCGGAGGCGGCGCCAAATTATTAATATCCGAATATACGATGCTGCCAATAATGATTTGATAGGTTGCTGACGCCCGAACTAGGATCTTTATAGTAGAAGAAAGTTTTTAATTTTGCGCCGCTTCCGAAAAGGTTGAAATGTATTTAGTATACGATTTAACGAGTAAATAGGTTTTATTAATAGCTGTTGGGTATTTGTATAAATGAAGTAGAAATTATTTCATACTTTTTAGTGCATTTCGAAGTCGGTTGTATTTTTTGTTAAAAATTATTTTATTGTTCCTTCTACTCGCTAATTGCGCCTCCCACCTAAATCCTTTTGGTAGCCTGCCTCTCATATTTTCCCACCCCCTTTCCTCCAACCATGTCTCTATAAGGACCACAGCATCCCATTTCCTCATTGTTTTCCAGAAGTCTTCATCTTTATTTCTTATACTCCAGCACAATTCCAGAATCCTACTGTCCATCCTCCCCCTTCCTCCTCTTTTTTGTTTCTCTTCTCTTCTGCCCTGCTGCCTTCCTTTTCGTCTGCTGTACCCTTCCTCTCATACCTCCTTCCACTTTCTTCTTGCACTCACCCCTCCGCTTTTCCTTTCCTTCCTCTTTTCTTTTGCTTGTATATTCTTTCCATGCTTTCTTCCTCCCCTATATCCCTTGCTCCTCTTCCCTCTTCCTTTGTCCTCCTCCCTGGGAGGCCTTCCACTCCCTCCCCTCCCAGTCTATCAGAGCTCCCTTTTCTTCATCCCATTTCCACCATTTTCCTTCTATTCTTATTTTCCCGTGGTCTACCCACACGTATTTTCCTTTCTTTCTTTCTTCTCTTTCGATTTTTCTTAGAGTCCATTGTGTCTTCCTCTTCGCCCACGTTAGGTCGTCCTCTATTCTCTCTTCCCGATCTTTTAGCGCCTTTTTATTTTCCATTATTCTCCTTTTTAGCTCGCTCGATTTTATTTTTAGAAGCATCATGCTGACTTCTTTTCCTCTTTCTACCGTGCCTACCTCTTGTACTTCCTCTATTGCGTCTTCCTCTCCTGTTATCTTTAATATCTCCTCCGCCTTCTCTTTCATCTCCTCTCTTCTCGCTTTCGTACCTCTGATTATTATATTTTTCTTTCTCTCCTCTCTCTTTTCTCTCCCATTTCTTTTCTAACTCGCTCAACTTCTCCTGTCTAAATCTTCTTTATCAACATTTCTATCTTCCCTTCCATTTCTCTCTTTTGTTCTGACCACTTGTCCTCTTTTCTCTTCGTGTCTTTTTTTAGCTTCTCTATTTCTCCTCTTACTTCTTTTGCTAGGGCTGTCATGTTCACCTCAACCCTTTCCATCTTCCCTCCCAGTTCTTTTCCTAAATCTTTTATTAACTTCTTTATTTCGCCTACTCCTCCGTCACCTTCCTTTCTTTCTTTTTTCTTTTCGGGTGATCTCTCCGTCACGCTGCTTTCTCTAAACATCCATCCGCTTGTTCGCCTCCTCTCCTCTTCATCTTTTTCTTTGGGTGTCCCTTCTTCATTTCCTTCCTCCTTTTTCTTTTCCATATTTCCTCTAGGTTTGACATGCTTCCTATACTCTGGGTCCTTTCCCTTCTCAAAACCTCTATATTCGAGGGCCTGCCTCTTTTTTCCCCTTTGTCCGCTTTCCCAGCTTCCTCCCTCCCTTCCATATCTTTCTTTTCCTTCGTCTCGTCTTCCATTCTTTGCATTCCGATCCTCTTCTCTGCTCCTTCCTCTTCTTTACCGACCATCCCTCTGTTCCTGTGGTCTCCTCTCTCTCTTCTCCCCAGGTGTCGCTCGTTTACGCCTCCTCTTCCTGTTTGCCGCTCTTTTCTATCTCTTCTAGATTCTAACCTCACAATTAATGGGTCCACTTAGCGTCGATTTTTCTTCTCGTTTTCGCCAATTTGATTTCTCCCTACACCACCGCTCTTTCCTCCCCCTATCCACTCACACTTTCTGCTACCCTTAAACTTTGTTTCCCCACTTTTCTAACTTTCTCGCTTTATAATCGCTCCGCTTAGCAAGGTCCACGTCCGCTCACGACCGTTACCATAACGGAACTGCTAAAATTGATGTTAAAAGTTGGCGAAAAGCAAGAGAGATCGAAATCAAAACCAGTCGCGGTGTCGGCTTTGGTTTCAAAGGTTTCATTTATCCAGGCGAGGTGTCGATTCTGGACATTTAATGTTGCATTTATCCAAGCGAGGTATCGATTCTGAGTCCGTACACATCTTTTGTATTCAGCCGACATGTCGATTCTGCATCCGTACACATTATTTATATTCAGTCGTGGTGTCAATTCTATGTTGTTTATTCTATTACTATTGTTTATAAATATAATTCAAACTATATCGTGTTTGGTGTCATTTTAATCAGAAAAATCTCACAAATGCGTTAGTGAAAGTTTCATTAAGAAAAAGTTAAAAATAAAAATGTTTTATCGTTCAATTAGTATTAGTCATACCGATATTACGGTCGGATCATATTACATGGTTTCTTCGTCGAGGGGTTTGGTTCGCTTAGCGGGATCCCCCAAGTGGAGGGAATAGCGATGTTGTCACTTATCCAAGCATTCTTTCGTTGCATTTATCCAGGTTTTACTGTAGTGCGGAATATTACATGTTTTTTAAAAATGTTTATTTACATGAACGAAAATTCTGTGGAAGGCGATAATGACCGTGTGGTTGAGTGGGTTCAATGATCTTGTCTGGAGATCAGCTGTTCTTCGAAATTTGTTCCCTCCTCGAATGTTTAGGGTCGACACAGTGACCCAGTGAGAATTATCTGCTTTTAGCATAGCAGGTTAATTTAGGAACGAATGAGTAAGTTTCATTTAAATTATTTTTAAATTTTTAATAATTATTCCATTTCAAACATTTTTATTTGTTGTTTAGAATGTTCAGAATTTCCTTTCTTACATTATGACAGGCGACAAGAGATTAGATTCCGTAATCATTTTGAACAACAACTAAAAATGTTCAACCAGTTCAATTTTTTTATTGTGCTGTGCCAACGGGGTGCCGAACCGTTCGTTCGCGACCTACGTCAAGCCCCGCTTTCGTAGCCGACGCTGCCGTCCCTGAGCCCGCGCGCTATACGCGCTCGGATTGGTCAGTGTTTTTCCTTAATATTTCAAAAACGAAGCTTCAAACAACTTTTTCGCAAAGGAAAAAGTTGTTCAGAATCACCCCAGCTACCACCTCTTCACTGGATAAAAATGAGTTCTGGGAAACCCTGTATATAAATAAATATTATAAATCATTACATGTCTTTATTTCTTATTCCCTTCTTGAAATTATTAATGCCATGTAGTTTACGTTGTTTCATTCATGATACTCCTTCTCTTTCTCTCGCGCTGTCTTTTTCTATCTCCGACTGGAATCAAAATCTCGGCTTGAGCCGATTCATTTTGGAAGCTTGGTCAGTATTGTCACAGAATGCGGTAACACCGCGACAGAACTCTCAAATGCTGTGATTTGACAACCATGCCACCTTACTTTTGTTTCTTATTCTGCATAATGACGTTTGATGTTACACCGTCAAATGTCCAATTTCTTAATTATGTTTTCACGATTGCCCGATTCTTTCCAATGGCGCTTACATCGATTCGGAGCAGGCTTCGAAGGAGTCTGTGCCCTTAACATCCCATTTTAGCAAGTAAATATAATTCAAACTATATTGTGTTTGGTATAATTTTAATCAGAAAAATGCGACAGTAAAAGTTTTATTAAGAAGAAGTGAAAAATAGAAAAGTTTGGTAATTATTTAGATTACGGACGGCGCGCTGCAGCTAATGTTCTCCGTGCACACTGATGTAACTTCAATCGTAAAAATGTATGGTTCTAACTAATGGAATGATGTGATGTGGCAGGTTGTTGAATTTGTCTCAACACCCACTACAATATTATAAGTAGAAAAATATAGGGTGCCATTTAAAAAAATTGTTTTAGTTTCAAAATCTCCCCCATCACTTCACCTATCGAAACATTATCTGCACCACATAACGTGCCCGCTTAAATCAAACAAGTGTTGTAGAAACATTTTTTTGATAGCTTTAACCGTTTACGAAATATTTGACCATTCACACTTAAACGTAACACCCTATATATGCGCGCGCGCGCGTGTGCGTATCAAATAAATTGGCTTTTTAAAATATCAATGAAATTTCATGGTGATAAAATAATTTTTTTTTAATGGTAATGATAATTCTTTCGATAAAAAAATATTTGTTCTTACCCCTGTGTCCTGTAACATTTTCTTTCCCTCGTCACTTCTTATACTATTTTCTATGTATTCTCTTTCCTCCTCTGATATTCGTAAATCTTGAGCAGGACTGTCAGAACCAAAAATAAAGAAAAAGATGCTCCAAATTAAGGCTATACCACCAAATACAAAGAATATGGATGGCCAGGCAAGCGATGAAGCTGCTAATACGCCGGAAATTGGAAAGGAAATTACGGTGCCGAATTGGGCTCCAGCATAAGCAAATGCTCCTGAAAAATATAAATATATAAAGAAGTATAATGATGTTTTATATAAAATCATTGAATTTATTTTTCTACATATAATCAAATATACTGATTAAAGGCTATAATATTCAAATTTAATGATAACCAAAATTGTTCCATTAATGAAACTAAAAAACTAAAAACATGGAAGTAAAAAAAATTAAAAGAAAATTATTTTAACAAAGATTACAGTACGGTATTAATAAAATGATTTTATAAAATTTTAAATAATACAATTTAAAAACATCTTTTTATTTGCATTGATAAATAAAAATTAAATGATGTCTGCTGAATTCTATTCAAAAATTAATAACCTAATACGGAACTTTACTAATGTAGATTAGCTCCTCTGTCTAATAGATATTCTTCCGCAAAGTTTGTAAGGTAGACTTGTTTACTTAAATAAGTATATTAATATAAATTCGTAAAAAATAGGAAATTACAATAGTACCCAAATGTAAGGCACTAGTCTACTCATTGGTATGATGTGGAATCCCCGCCACAGGTTACCTCAAACGTGCCGAAGTTCCACATTATCTAAATAAGAATATACTGTGCTCTCACGGAAAGAAGTGCTCTAGGAAGAATGTACAGTAAAACCTGGATAAATGCAACGAAAGAATGCTTGGATAAATGCAACATCGCTATCCCCTCCACTTGGGGGGATCCCCCTAGGCGAACCGAGCCGCTCGACGAGGAAACCGTGTAATATGATCCGACCGTAATATCAGTGTGACTAATACTAATTGAACGATAAAACTTTTTTATTTTTAACTTTTTCTTAATGAAACTTTTACTAATGCATTTGTGAGATTTTTCTTATTAAAATGACACCAAACACAATATAGTTTGAATTATATGTTGTAACGTGGTGACACCCGTGCCCCCCCGTTACAATCGCTGCGCTTTTCCCATTTTACACTTCCACCCCAAAACCACCCGTAACCCTTCCCTCATCTAACCCTTTCCCCCTGCTCACCGGTGGCGGGCCGATGGAGGCGACGGAAGACGTACAAGGAATACCCGCAGAAGGAGCTACGAGGCCGGCGACAGACCTCTACCCTTCCTCCAAGGAAACGGAGCAACATGGGACTCCGAAGAAATAGACGAAGCTGCCCAACTGATGCAAAACGTCCACCCGGAGCCATCTGTCGCCGAGCCCGAAGACCTCAGCCCACCCGTCATCGCGGGATATCCGTCAGCCCCATCGACCCCGAGCACCGGTGTATCGAAGATCGATAATCGATCTATCCCGTTGCCGGAAGAGGCCCCCTTCCTAGTCCCATCCCCTCCCCAAAACCATCCCGCAACGGTTTCGTCGTCGCAGCAGCGACGGCGAACCGTCACTTGAGCCCGAGGCTAGCGTTGCGAGTGATAGAGAGATTTTTGGGAAGCAATAGAGAGATTTTGGAAAGCGGTAGAGAGAGAGTAAGAGAGAGAGCGAGAAGTTTTGGGTGAGTCCCTTATCGTAATTATTGTATTAGCGAGATCGAGGCAACGGCTACCTTCTCCGCCCGCGCATTGTTCGACATAGGGGCGAGTCCCCCTTTTATTTTCCAAACACGAAGTTTTCCTCATTCGCGTAACGTAGACGAACTTTCCTGCGAACCCCTCCCGACCCTAGAGATTTCCCTTCCCACACTAATCCTCCTTGCGTACTCCCCCGCGAAGTATTGTACGGACGTAAGTGCCCCGAGACCCATCCCCTGTAAGACACCCCCAATCACCCCCCTTTTTCCCTTTTTTTTGATTCAAATCGCCACAGCGAGTGGCTGGCGCTCAACGTTGTGAGAAAGAGAGAAAATCGTAGAGTAAAGTCGGCGAAAGGAAATTCCGTATAGAGTGAACCCCCGAAGAGGGTCACAATGTATAAACAATAGTAATAGAATAAACAATATAGAATTGACACCACGACTGAATATAAATGATGTCGGCTGAATACAAAAGATGTGGACGGACACAGAATCGGCATGTCGGCTGAATACAAAACATGTGTACGGACACAGAATCGGCATGTCGGCTGAATACAAAACATGTGTACGGACACAGAATCGGCATGTCGGCTGAATACAAAACATGTGTACGGACGCAGAATCGACACCTCGCTTGGATAAATGCAACATTAAATGCCCAGAATCGATACCTCGCTTGGATAAATGCAACATTAAATGCCCAGAATCGACACCTTGCCTGGATAAATGAAACCTTTGAAACCAGAGCCGACACCGTGACTGGTTTTGATTTCGATCTCTGTTGCTTTTCGCCAACCTTTAACATCAATTTTAGAAAGTAATTATAATTGAAACTATATCGTGTTTGGTACCATTTGAATCAGAAAAATTTCACCAATGCGTTAGTGAAAGTTTTAATAAAAAAAAGTCAAAAATAAAAAAGTTTTATAGTTGAATTAGTATTAGTCACACCGATACGTTTCGGCTCTTTCCTTTCATCATCGGACCTCTCTCTTTCCGCCAGTGTCTGTCCCTTTCTACGTTCACGCTTGGCTGGTCGTCGCGTGTAACCCGAGATTCGACACCTCGCTTGGATAAATGCAACCACTGGGTCCCAATCTTGGTTGCATTTATCCAGGTTCTACTGTACATAGGTCTGATAAGGACTTTCGGCCGTAGCGTATTATTAATCAAAGAGGGCACATCTACGAATCTATGTCGACTTTTTTCATTTACACGGAAGTTTGTGCGAGGTACCTCTCTCGCCTCTGTACCGTTCTAGGGGACAGGTCAGGGTTCTTCTTTTTTGTGAACGCATGGTATACAGCTGTCATTGACAATGACAGATAGCTAATAAATTATCCAAGTAATAAATTATATTTCTCACTTTATAATTATGAGGTTAATTTTATATTTTTGCGAGGCCATAACGTACGTTCCGATCCCAACTGTATGTCTTTCATTCGACCACTACCATACGTACTATGCCGCTACAATTCGTTAACTTCTCTACTTCTACAATTCTTTATTATTGCATTTATTTTTATTTTTTCAAAAGTGAAAAGAAACAGTAAAATTAGTGTAAAGTCTAAATTAGTCTTTAAAGTCTAAAATTCTAGAATTCTAAGGTTCTATGTCTAAAAATTCTGACATCCTAAAATTCCAGAATAGCAGATATTCTAGAGTACAAAATTTCCAAATTCTAAAATTCTGAGTGTCCAGCATACAAAATTTCAAGACTTTAAAATTCGAGAAAGAAGAAAAAGAAATTCCAAGATTCTAACAATTCAACATTCTAACATTCTAAAGTTCTAAGCATTCATCATTCCAAAAGTTTAATATTTTAAAATTCTGAGCTTGCAAGATTCTAATACTGTTACGTTTCCGTCTCGGAAATTTCCTTATTTTGGTGTTACGACTCCTTCTCGCAAATTTCCTTACATGGAGTCGGATGTGCACACCCGGAAACAGTCTTCTAGAAAATTCGAGACCAACGCGAAGCAAGAGCGCGGTCCTTCGGAGTCACGTATGGTCCGTCTCCACCACTCATTTTACTCCAATTTTTGGGTATAAAAAGGGTGGCGGCGAAGGTACTTTGGGTCTAGTTGAAGTCTAGAAAGAGTTCGATACACGTCAGTACATTTCTCTCACGAATAATCTCTGCAACGAGGAAACTCAGCGAGATCGGGTATTCAAGTCCTCTTCAAGCACTCAGTAACTATACAGTACGTTGTCTACTGTTAAGCATTATTCGGATCGTTGTAGCCCGCTCCCGTTTGCTCGCGTTCGTCAAAACCGAGAAGGATTAAATTCTTGCTTCGCGGAATCGAAACTAAAACTCTTATATTCAATTCATTTAACTTGTAAACTAGAATTTAACTCGTAGAACACTGTGATAGTTGCACTCAACAATTGTAAGGTCCCGACAAAGAGAATAAATTCACATTATTTAACTTATTTATTACTGTTCAATTATATTGACTAGTCCAGAAAACCCATTATGCCATTATAAAGGTGTACTTTTACCGCTCGAGGTACACTAATCAAGTTACGAGATTTAATACTAACATTTTCTGCGGCTCCCTACGTTAGCTATACATAGGTTCGTCCTCACGTCTTCACCGTTCCTGTGGCTCCTACATTAGCCATACATAGTTTCGTCCAGGATAACCAACCTCCTGGAGCTCCCTACGTTAGCCATACGTGGATTCGTCTCCGCGTCTATTTCCTTAGGCTCCCATTGTTAATAACAGTACTGGTTACGCCATTAACAATACCATAACCGAAATACTTTCAAATTCTCAAATTCTAAAAGTTTAAGGTTCTATGATTCTAATTGTAAGATTCTAAAATTATTTTTTAATAAGTATGTATCTTACGAAATGCTACATGTAATGCAGCTAAAAGCAACCACACGATAATGTTCTTATTACGTAAAATTATAAATGATTAAAACTTAAACAATATTAGAATTAGGTTAGAATTAAACAATATTAAACACCTGACATCGTTGATAAAGCGAAGAGATCTAGCCTACGCTATAAAGAAATCCTAATGAGAAACCTCAGTGTCGGCGGTTTATGTTGAATTAAAAGAGTTGTGATTGTAATCTCAAATCAAAGTCTTCTTTACAAAAATGTGAATGATTATTATTTTATATTTCGGGCATAATTGTAAATTTATAAATATATTCATATAAACGAATAAATTCTTACCAAGTCTTGATCGTTCAGATGGCGGTGCCCACTTTGAAAGGAGGGTATGAGTGCAAGGTAAAAGGCAACCTTGACAAAGACCCATACCTACTCTACAAGCGCAGACTGCAACGTAATCCCCATAAGCAGCAGCAGTAGGTATTAAACCGTTTAAAATGCCACAAACTAGGATTCCAATGCTAAGCAGTTTCTGACCACTCCAAACTGATGCTATATATCCACTCGGTATTTGTATTACCGTATAACCCCAAAAGAAGGAACTTTTAATTAGAGACGTCTTTGTTTGATCCCAGTTATAGACCTAATCACAACAATAATATAACCTTTGTAATACATATAACTGATCTCTTTTGTCAGACAATAAAATTTATTTGTAATTGATACTATAGAAAACAGCACATGTAAATATTACAGAACTAAAATAATATAGCAGATATAAAGTATTACAAACGATAGAAGCGTTTTGAAAGATTTTTTCGGAAATTATGCCCAAAAAGACTCCAGTCGCCGATGACCTTGACCTTGACATATGTTGTCAACGTTGGCTCCCTACGTAATGTCCTGAGTAACGTTGGCTCCGAAAAAAGTGACGGTCGCGATCCGTTCAAAAGTTACGAAGCATTAAAGTTTCCGCTTTTTTTCGCGTTTTCACGTTTAAGCAACCTTTTCCTATACATATAGTGTCCCACCTTAAGTGTTATAATTCCGTTATTCCGTAACTATTAATGATACAAAAAATTGTTGATATGGGAATTGCACGGCAAAAGAGAGCCTATGTTTTGGTCGAAGTGAAAAATCTTTTACATTATTAGTTTAAGAGATATGATGGTCAAGTTTTGTTTTTTAAATGCAACCAATATTTATTTTGAGATCATGTGATAGTGCTTTACAAGACGAATTCATTAAGCTTTAATGTATACACTCGATTTTAATTAGTTTTCAAGATATAACGTTTACAAATTTCCCGATTTTCAGTAGATACGTCTCGATTCGAGTAGCAAGTCGTAAAAGCGGCCCTATTGTTGCGGTAAATGTCACAGCGGTTATTCTTTGGGTCTGCCATTCCTAGCATAGACCCCCGCTATGGCACTTACCGCAACAGTAGAGCCGCTTTTACGACTTGCCACTCAAACCGAGATCTTTCTACTGAAAATCAGGAAATTTGTAAACGTTATATCTTGAAAACTAATTAAAATCGAGTGTATACATTAAAGCTTAATGAATTCGTCTTGAGAAGCACTATTACATGATCCGAAAAAAAATATATGGTCCCATTTAAAAAACAAAACTTGAGCACCATATCTCTTAAACTAATAATGTAAAAGATTCTTCACTTCGTCTAAAACATAGGTCCCCTTTTGCCGTGCAATTCCCATATCAACAATTTTTTGTATCATTAATAGTTACGGAATAACGGAATTATAACCCTTAATGTGGGACACACTGTATAACCGCCGCTTGGCCATAGTACCGATACTGGTCGAAGAAACCATTGTGAAAAAGAGCAATCCAGATGTCCATCGATGGCTGGTGAGAAACGCGCGGGTGCCTTTTGGTAAATTCTAACATACACGTTAGAGTTACATACAAGTGTTGTTGTTTATAAAAGTAATAGATGACAAGCGACAGTCATTTTTTGAATTTTGGCATATGTGGCCGACCGCCTTACGGCCTAACCTAATCTAATATAATACAAAATTAAATTAGTGAACTTGTTAATCAGTGAATTAGGTTAGGTTAGGCCAGAATAATATTCCGGCCACCGCGCCGTCAGGTGGCCGGCCACGCAAGTCAAAATTCAAAATCATTGAAATCAGTTAAGTTCGATTTTTTAGTTCACCCGTTATACTCCTTAGGTTTCGGCCGCCGTAATCTGTTTATATAATTGATAATTATATAATTTAAAGCCGCAACTTTACGATTTTTCCCAAGAATAACAAAATATTTTAAGCATTTTAAAATATAATAACTTTCTATTCTACTTACTTCCCGACAGAAGTTGGTCCAATCAACGACACTGCGCTGCGTGCAGATAAACACCAAAAAAAAGCGAAAACTTTAATGCTTTGTAACTTTTGAACGGATCGCAATCGTCGGTTTTTTCAAGGCCAACGTTACTCAGGGTCATGACCTTGACAACATATGTCAAGGTCAAGGTTATCGGCGACTGGGGTCTTTTTGTGCATAATTACCATCTTTTCTTATTAACTCCTTTATTCAATGTTCCTAATTAAGTACACAATTAAAAAAATCTGTTAGTATTGTATGTGTTTATGAGTGGTTTGTTATGAGCACATCAAAAGAGTGTTTTCTTTTGAATCTTCTGGGGAGATTTGAATGCTAGTTCTTAGCAAGTGGATTTATGTGGTTGTTTATTCAATTTACTAAATGAATACTATTCATCGCCTTGCATCTTAAAAAGTGCTAGTAGCAAAACTTGGCTTTTGCCGAGCCGTTACACGGATTTCAGTTGACAACGTTTAAATCGTTTTCACTCGGTTTAGAAGCAGCTATTACTGTTCATATGCTTATTGCAAACAGCACGACGGCTCGGAAGACACTCGTTTTGAAAGATAAAATTAATTTTATTATATGACAAGATGAAAGAAGAAGTTGCCAAGTTTAGAATGAGACGTGGTTGATGGATGTGTGATTTTCTGAGCTGGGTATTATTGTTAATATTTAGTTCAAGTATATTTTTATTTTTAATATGTAGGTAGATCAATAATGAGGTATACTAGGAAAAGTAGTGTCTTCACTCAGGACTCCTTAGCAATGAACTTGGACATGTTGTTTTTATATCACCTCTTTTATTGGCCGATGTTTTTAGTTTGAAACGTATACCTACACTTAGTCTTTATCTGAAGACTGAATGAAAGAACTTGGACATAGATAATTGATTTCATTTCTTTTATTGGCCTTTGCGTTAGGATTTTTTTGAGAGGGGGATGGGGGGGGGGAACTTGGCCTTTGTTTCACATTTACGTTTTTTTGGGGGTGATATCATTACTTTTTTCTAAGTGTTTAAAATAATGTAGATTGTTTTTCTTGAGAAAGTTTTCCATAAAGCTTCCTTCTTCCTACCAAAACAGTTTTAATAATTCTTCTTACACGGGAACTGGTTTATAGAATTATAATATAAAAACTCTACCCTCTACTTTCATAAAGAAAACCTCTATGGGTGGGGCACTATTACACTTTTTAGGCATTTTTGATCATTTTCTGTACTTGTGCTAAAAGAACCTTCTTCTCACCAAATTTCAACATTTAACCTACCCATGAAGTGGTTTATTATAGTATATTAGTATACGCTAGTCGCTAACAATTAAAACCCCTGTGGGCGGGGGTACTTTCAAACTTTTTGGGATTTTTCGATTTTTCCCTTTATTTACACATCAATATCTACCACCATGCCAAATTTCAAGTTTCTACCTACACGGGAAGTGCTTTATAATTTTGATGAGTCAGTGAGTCAATGAGTCATATAAACTCCAATTTTCCACCGCCTATATCTTGGAAACGGCTAAACGTAGAACTTTGAAACTCTTAGGTTTTGCTTATCTCCACTCTCGTAATATGTATTTTAAATTTCATGGGTTTATCTTGAAGTGGACAAAAGTTATGAGAGGGTGAAAATCGGCTCTAAACCTTCGTGTAATATACACACTGTGTGCGTAGGCAGGAACTTGGCCTGGCGCACTACCGTGCGCCTAGATTTTAGTTGCTATATTGTATCCGAACTCTGTTAAAGTTACATTTACTGTAAATCAATCGCTTCGCTCCAGTACGTCAGCCACGAAGCGGATGGCGACCTAGTATAAAGTTAATTACTATAAATAGTTGTTTAATGCTATATAAAGTCAATAATGTATTCACAGGTTTGGAATAACGTACATACAACAAAGGGTATAGTCGGATAAGATGGTCAAAAGTGCCCCCAAACTAAATTCGACTTGCAATTGCTCATTCGATAGCTTATCAAAAAAACAACAGTTTGTGCCAAGTTTCAACCCTGTATCTCATGTGGGAGGGTAGTAATGGGCAAAAATGTAAAACACATTTTCGTCAATTTCTCCTATATTTGTGCATGAAAAATTCTGAAAAAAATCAGAGATATTTCTTTTTATGTGGCACATATTATAGTAGCTTTGCAGATTTTTAGATTGAAAACCCGAGTTGTGAAAAATCGAAAACCCCAAAAAATTCGGAAAAATGGCGATTTTATATGGAAGGAGTCGCGGATCTGGATTCATATTTTTTTTATAAGTGTATATTATCGATACTATTGTTCTCAATTTTTTTGAGAATTTTTGGTCAGGTGCGCCATAGTTACAAAATAATTAAAAACCGAGTTTTTCGCTATTTTTGCGTGTCAGAGTTACTTGTACGGTGAATTTTCGTCTGTTCTTTATCAAGTAAGTGTGTTATACAATGTTCAATGCTTTTACGTACAGTGAAACACAATAAGAATTTAAAAAACTGAATAAACCAGAATTATTGAAACTACTTTATGTGCGGTATATATCAAAAAATCGAAAGTATTTCCAACAGTGTCAATGTCTCAGCGGTTAAGGGGGTAGACACGGGTAATAGTAGCGCGTTGACATCACCAGCAAAAATGGGCATAAACGTGGGTTTACGCGCTTCCGTTATTCGTCCTTGTATGACAACATTTAGGGCTGGGTGAGGGCTTATTCGAAAGAGGAAGGTCCAATGCACACCGCTCAACTCATGTTTCAGTGGGATTATGTTGATGTTTAGTAATATAAGCGTCCAAAGAAGAGGTAAAAAATCGACAAAATGCATTCGCGGAATCGAAGCATTTTTAGGCCACTAAAAGAGTGCTGTGATTGAAATCATGAGTTGAGCGGTCTAGCCACAACCCTTACCTGTAAATTAAGATCTATTTTGTTTTCATTGGCGCGTGTTTAGAGTGAGATGTACGGTGATCATGCTATCCTTCGTTCAACCTAAATGATAGAATTGTCCCGCTCCAGTAAATTCTGACTGACCACACGCGTGGATTTTATATAACACACCGTAGCACCCCTCGCTGCTGAAAAATATATGCCTACTGTGAAGAACCGAAGGAACGTGCAATCTGAGAATTATTTTTAGAAAAAGTTATCTTCTTTAAATAAATGTTTTTTAATTAATAAAAGTATACAGGATACGTCATGCAACTGGGACAGGTTATATCTTGAATTTGGCAGGAGATAGGAAAAAGCTATTTATGTAAAAGTTCAATGGTATGATAATGTATATTTTTTTGTAATTTCATTTTTTTCGTGAATGCAACGATGTACTCAAAAAATGCAAATCCACTTTTT